CCGATAAGATAGGTTATGTAAAATAGCCCATCTCACCATCCTGTGGACACTGTTCATTCGACCACAACACGTGGTGTTCGTCAAGAAAAAACACCCGAACAGATTTCAACGTCCGGACGTTCGCCCTGGTCGTGGTTACAACCGTTTCAACCTGACGAGCTGCGTCGCGATGCTTTCGCCTTGCTCGCTGGCAGCGGCGACACCTCCACCGAACCGCCCGACGGCGGGCGATCGACGGCGTGGTACCCCGAGCCGAACACGTACTGCTGCCGCGTCTTGCGCTCGTTGATGATCTCCGTGCAGGTCGCGAGCGGAATCAGGTTGTGCGTGCGACCGTCCGGGGTTCGGACGACGACATAGGCGAACCGGTGCCGCGTCATCACCTCGGCCAGCGCTTGCGGGCTGATCCCGATCAACGAGGCCGCGATCCCCGTCGACACCAGCGGGCCGTGCTTCTGAACGGCGTCATACATCTCATCGCGGAACTTGTTCGGCGTCGTCGCCGCATTCTTCTTGCGCCTTGGCATGCAGTCTCCTGATGGGTTCTCCGATACGGTCCCCGTCCTCGTGGAGGGTCTACCGGGGTGGCCAGAGCCGCGAGCAAGCTCGCGTTCCGGCCACCCCGGCAGAGTCTACCCCGCCGTCGTCCAGGGCTGGGGCTCCCCTTCCCCAGACCCCTTCCCCCCCCAAACACTATCCGTCACTGCACCGCTGCTTGTTCTGCGCGTGGGTGGCGTGCCGTCGGACCCGCGCTGAATCAGCTGCGGCCGGACGTGAGAACTGCAGCTGACCAGGCTGCGCAAAACGCAACTTGCTAGAGCAGCAGCAGCTGATCGGGATCGTCGGTCGTTTTCTGCTCTTGCGTTTCTTTGAACAAAGCCGAGCACTCGACCAGGTCGAGAGCGATCCCGCGTGTCAGGTGCTGCAGGTGCCGATGTTCGCGGCGGTAGTGCTTCGAGTCGAAGCAGTGACCCGAAAGCATCGACAAACGCAGTCTGAAGTCGCGGATGCTCTCTTCGATGCCGTCGCGATCCTCGCTCGACATCTCGGCGACGCCGGCGAGAGCCTCGAGGCCGGCGACAGCTCTCGAGAAGACATCGATCGACTCGCTAGAAAACTGCAACCAGGCGAGCCCGGTCATAGGTTCCTCCGACTCGAAACAGTCCATGAGATCATCGATCACTTCAATCGTCCGCATTGATCCCTCCGATCCGGTAGGTGCGAGCCCAGACATACACGACCCGCTGCTCGGCTTCGTCGCGTGCGACCGACAGGAACGCTCCAGACCGGCCGTTGAGTGAGCTGCCCCGGTTCAGCGACCCCAGCAGGTACACGCCCCCGCTCGCGATCGCGGCTTTCGTTCGGAATGCCTGCGTGTTCACCTGGGGCAGGTCTTCAACGAACGCCGTCACTTCCGAGATCGAGAGATCCACGTCGAGCGTGGCCCTGGACTGCCCGAGATCGCGAACGGCTACGACGGCGTCGAGGCCCGTCTGGACCTCCTCGAAGCCCGTCACGGTCACCGTGCCCTCGCTGCTCACCGTGCGTTGAGGGATCCGCAGGACCGTGCCGTCAGCGATGCTGGACTCCGACCCGTCGAGGAGCAGGAACAGCGGAGCCGCCACGATCCTGGACGACTCCCGGCGCGCGTCGGCCCGCAGTAGTCCGTTCAGCGCCGCCGACAGCTGCCAGGTGCTGCCCCCGCTGCTCGCCGCTCTCAATGCGACCTCGGCCGCGGGCACCGCGTCCAGCCCGAGCTCGCGGAAGTCGAAACCCCGGAGGCTGACCAGGTACAGCTGCACGACCCAGGACTCGCTCGGCGCGGATTCGATGCGGTCGATCAGATCGGCGACGCGCTGCACCACTTCCACCTTGTCGGCCAGGACGATCAGACCATCCTCGAAGGTCTCCACCCGCCCCGTCGCCGAGATCAGCACCTGGAGCGATGAACGCAGCCCCTCGGCGTCGAGCCGCTTCACGTTGCGGACGTACACCGCGCGATCCTCGGGCCGCAGCTCACCGAGGAAGTACACACCGCCCGACTGGTTCGCCTCCACGCCCAGCCGACGCGCGACCAGGGCGATGACCGACTCAACGCTGATCCCCGTCACTTCGAGCGTCACCGGCTCCGCGTCGAGCCCCGCCGAGACGACGATCGACACGCCCGTCTGATCAGCCAGGTACCGAGCGAAATCAACCAACGCCATCTCCTGCACCGAGAGCGTGACCAGCGGAGCGTCTGCGCTCGGTTCGTCCGAGGGGGCATCCTCGGCCGTCGCCTTCGCGTACCAGTCCCGGAACGTCGGCGCGTGTGGTTCATTGATCGCCGGAGACTGCGTCGAGCAGCCCGCGAGAAGAAGTGCCGACGCGCATGAGACGAAGCACCGTGTTGTTGTCCAGCGTCGCCGTCCGCTTCGCCTGGTTGATCGCGACCAGCTTCCGCCCTCTGTATTCGCCGTAGTCAATGACCTCTCCGATCCCGTAGGTGTACCCGCTGCGGAGCGTGACCGAGTTCGCGGTCACCGCAACGAGAGCCGACATATCTCTGACCTGGTCGAGCAGCTGCTCGTGTTCGTCCTGGAGCCTGCGGTGCCGTTCGTCGAGCGCGTTGTAGCGCACACGCAGCCGCTCGAAAAGCTCTGCGAGGATCTGCGCTTCGTCGTCCGACTCCAACGCCTGGGACATCGTGGCCGACGCCTCGACCACCTCGGCCGACGGCTGCGCGCTGCCATCGCTCGCGTACGCGTCCCCGACGCCCTTGGCCGTCTCGGCCCCCCACGTCTGCGCGCGGGTGAACGCCTGGTTCATGATCGTCCGACCGCCGCCGAAGAACAGGATCCAAACCATCACCCCCGCGATCGCGACGCGCGGCGCGAGCTTGGGCATGTTCCGAGCGACGAACCAGGCGACGAGGCCAGGAGGCGATCGGCGCTGCCACTGCCTGCGCTGCGCACGGCCCTTGTTGCCGCCCTTCTGCGGCTTGCTGTAGGAGTCGTAGAACTGGAAGTACCACGGATCGAGCGGGAAGTACTTCCGCCCCACTCGCGCCCCTCGGCCCTTCACCGCCGAGCGTGACACCGTCTCCTGGACACCGGAGTTGTACCGGCGGAGGAGCATCGCGCGGAGCTCGTACCAGTCGCCGAGTTCGATCTTAAAGATCGGGTCCTTGAGCGTCTCGGTGTTCTGCAGCTCGATGAGAAGCGCCGACTCTCGCCGCAGTTCGATCGCGATCTTCTGATCGCTCTGGCTGATGAACTCGACCGTTGCGCCCTGGTGCCGGATCTCGCCGAGCCACTGACGCCACTTGCGCTTGTCCTCGGCCTTCGCCTGCGGGTCCAGGAAGTTGTGGATCTCGTCGATCGCGATGTGCGCGTCCTGAAGGTTCTTGCCCTCGAAGAACTCCCACGGTCCCGACTCGCCCTTCTCCCACCGCTTGAGCTCGTCCTCGGGGATCATCTTGATCCGCTCGTGCAGCTGCTCCTCGTCCAGGCCGTGCATCGCCGCGGCGCGGTTCGCGATGCGATCGATGAACGTCTCGCCGTCGTACTCGGGCGGGACCGTGTGGTCCTCGGGCACCTTGCCCAGGGGGAAGTTCGACCAGTGAACGCCGTCGTGTTCGGGCAGGAACTCGTTGATGATGAAGTGTGCGCACCGCCTGAAACTCTTGCCGCTTCCGGCCGGTCCCACCGTGCACGTGACTACCGACCGCGTCGCCATGGGCGCACCCTCCAGACGATTCGTGTGGTGACCACGGTGACGAACAGCGCGGCCGCGAGCGGGCAGAGCAGCACCGCGAGCATGACCAGGGCGAGGAAGTTCTCCATATCAGCCGACTCCAAACGGGATGAGTTTGATCGAGATCTTCATGGTGGCGTAGCCCAGGACGAACCCGAAGTACGTCGTCAGGTAGAGGAAAAGCAGGTCCAGCGGAACGTACTGGTTCGCCAGGCCGAGCCCGTCGGCGATCGCAGCCAAGGCGAGCGGATCGAAGCCCGGGAAAATGAACTCCAGGATGTCGGTCGCCATGCCGTGCAGGAGTTCGATCGTCCACTTGATCAAGTCCTTCATCGGGCCCAGGATGTCAATGAATGCCAGCATCACCGTTGCTCCTTGCTCACCACTGACGCCACACGCGCGCCGCCATCGTCACGAACTGGATCGTGAGCCCGACCACCAACGCGATACGCACGAGGAAGATCGCGGACTTCAGCAGCGGATAGAACCCGGTGTCAGGCCACGCTCGCGGATCCAGAGACACCTCCAGCGTCGCCTGCGTCCCCAGCACATCGAACTCCCACCCTTCGGCCGTCGGCGTCGTCTGGGGCACCTCCAGCCCCGTCAGCGCGTCCTCGGCTTCGGGCTCGAAAGATTCTTCCTCCAGCGGATCAATCGTCGGGTCAGTCGGATCCGGCGTGGCCTCGAGGACCGCCAGGACGCGCGTCGAGAAGTCCGGCCAGTCCTCGAGGAGCCAGTTGCGCAGCGGCTCCTGAACGTCGTCGGTGAACGACTCCAGAAGCGCACGGATCGCCTCGCAGCACTCGGCGCAGCCGTCCTCGCAGGGCTCGGGTACCCACGTCCCTTCGAGCGTGACACACTCCGCGTGCGTCACCGACGCCTGGGTGAACTCGCCAGTTGACGGATCCACGAACGAGCAGCAACCGATCGGATCATCACAGGGCGCCGGGTACCAGAACTCCCCGCCCTGGTCTGCGCACTGCTGGTAACTCATCTCCTGGTTCGTGCCGTCCGCGAACTGGCAGCACACCACGCCCGCCGGGTTGTCCGGACCGCCCGGGTAGTCCGGACCCGTCTCGCCGTTCGGACCTCCCCCGCCGTGATGCGGCGGAACCGGTGGCGGCGGAGGCGGCGGCGGCGGCGGATCATCGTCGGGGATCAACGCGGCGCACTTCGTGCACGACTGCCCGAACACCGGGTTCAGCAGGTTCCCCTGTTCGACCACCACCGACGACCCGCCCGAGTTCGGACCCGACGCGGTCGCGACAACGCGGTAGTCGTAGCTGTTCAACCACTCGACCTGGTACGAGATCCCGACGCCACCCGGCCCGCCCTGCGGGTTCAGCTGGATCCCTCGCCCAGGCACATCGACCATCGCCACCGGTCCCACCGTGATGCCGAGCGGCGGCTGCCAGGACCCGCACCCGGTGTCGTAAGAGTTCGGGTTGCCGATCTCCATCGAGACTTCCGCGACGTCGGCGCACGGATCGGCCATGATCGCAGCGGTGTAGGTCCGGATCGCCTGCTGCGTCGAGCCTGCGCCGAACGCCTCATCAACGCACCCGGTCTCGACGTAGTACAGGCCCGTCGTCTGGTTGAACGCCAGGTGATGCTCGGTCCAGGTAATCCGGTACTTGCTGATGCCGTCGAACCAGCACACCGAATCCGTCGTGCGCACGAACAGCGGATCTTGTGCCGATGCGGCCGGAGCCAGGAGCGTCAGTGCAGCTGCGATCGCCAGGCGTTTCATGCGACGTTCCTCCGCTTCGTCCCTTCGAGCCAGGCGAACACGAACGCGATGCCGACCAGGACGCCCACGCCGAACGCGGCCAGCGCCACGAACTCAACCCCGCTCGCGAGGTGCTGCGAGATCTCCTGCAATCTGGCTTCCACGATTTCCTCGTGCGTCATCGGTCGGCCCTTCTTGAATCCGACGCCCAGGGTGTTTCGCCTGCGCGCCGGTGCGTTCTGCCCGCGGTGGTTCACTGCGCCCCCGGAAGGCGCAGTCAATCACCCGCGGATCTTCTTCCGCCAGCCCCAGGCGATCCATGCCACGGTCAGCACGATGCCGATGGTGATGACGGTCATGAACACGACGCCCAGGTCACCAGCTGCAGCGGTGATCGCACCGCCGACGTCGACGCCCAGGTCGGGCAGCGTCGGAGGTGCTGCAGCGGCGACGCCAGCCGTGGCGAGCCCTGCGGTGGTTCCAGCGCCGACCTTGCGGCGCACGTTGTTCGGAGAGGTCTTCATCCTGCTCCCTTTCTGCCGGAAGTCCGGCGCTAAGTGAGCACCGACGACGCACGCGCGCCGTCGCGTGCATGCGTCAACCGCCCAGGGCCTTCTCGCTCCAGCGGAGCGGAACCCCGACGATGATTCCAAACAGGTAAGCGAAGAAACACAGCACCACGCCGACCGCTGCGGCGTTGATGCCGAATTGCCAGAGCCAGGAGAGATCGATCGCGACCGGCGTCATGACGCACCGCCGATCGCGGCCTGCAACTTCTCGGCTTGGTCCACCGGCTCCGCGTACGTCCCCACGTGTTCGTGGTACTCGTACAGCAGTTCGACGTACGGCAAATCCTCGGCGAGCGCTTCGTCCACCAGATCGATCTTGACGCCCCAGAGCGAGCCGCCGCTGAACAGGAACCGCCGACCGCGTGTCAGGTCGTGCGCGTGCCAGGCGTCGGCAAGCGACAACCCTTGAAACTTCATCGGGTACTTGAGGACTTCGACCAGGTCACGCGCCGGATCGTCCGGGTGCTCGAACGGGCGAGCGTCCACGATGAACGAGTCGCCGGTGATCGCGTGCCACTCGGCGCTCAGCTGCTCCTGGCAGTCCTCGGTCGCCAAGTCTTCGCGCGACAGAACAACCAGGTGCACATGCGGGTGCCACGCGTCCGAGTTCTTGCCGCGCTTGATCTCAAGCGAACCGACGAACCCGTCCCAGTGCATCGTGACCGAGTGCGTGCGCGGCGGGATCTTCACCGCGTCGCGACGCCGCTGCACGAGCCGCGACTTGCAGTCCATGAACCGCTCGAAGACCGCGTCGAGGTTGTCCTGGTTGCGCATCGTCAGCGTCACCAGGTACGGCTTGAGCGTCGGGGCTTCGTTCATCACGTGCGCCACTCTCGCCGCGTACCGACGCACGCCGCGACCGGCTCGCCTGGCTGCGCACAGCGGGCAGAGTTTGTACTGCTCGCAGAGCCTCGCCGCCGTGAGTTTGATCGTGTCTTCGGTGAAGTACGCGCGAAACTCCAGCAACTGGGCGCACGTTTCGAGCTTCGTCGCGGTCTTCGTCAGCAAATCCGCCTGGTACCGCCCCGCTCCCTCGATCGACCGGAGGTACTTCGCCTGGGCGAGCGCTCGGGCGTGCCCGCGTGAGTACCGGTCCATCGTCCGCTCGTGGTCGCGCAGGCGGTCTGCGGCTTCCTCGCGGACGGCGTCGTTTTCTCGCGCCCCGCTTTGTTTGTGAGTATCAAGTAAAGGATCGGATCGCCCGGTTGACAGCGATGGCACGCCTTGCGGCGTCCGCCTCAAGCCGTGCTGATGGAGTTCTCGCGCGTCGCTGCTCGAAACCATGACCGCCCTTTCCGTGGCGCTGGATGCGAAAACGACCACGCCGCGTGAGCGGCCTGGTCGCGAGTGTGAAGGTCAGTTCAGTCGGGGGTCCGGGTCGCTCATCACGAGCGGTTCGGGGACCGGGACGACGTTGTACAGCGAGCGCGTGAGCCCGTTCGCCTTAGCGAGCGAATGCAGCATGCCGGGGTTGCCGCGCACTCCGAAGCACGTGGGCGCTCTTGGGAACCTTCCGAGCTTCACCGCTTCGTCGTACTCGGGCGTGGGGATGATGCGGTACTTCATGCAGCACCCGCCCGCGCGTCCAGCTGCTTCATCGCTTCGGCTGCAACTTCGCGCCCGAGGTCGAAGTCCAGGTCGATGTCCGTCATCACGAACGCCTCGCCGTTCTTGTCGGCGTACATCCGCGCATCGATCACACGCACACGTGCGCCCGGCTCGATCTCCACCACGACTTTCGACCGGCGCGCGCCGTCGTCGGTCTTCCATCGCTGGCTGACGGTGATGGGTTTGAGTTCGGGTGGGACGAAGGCGAAGGAGACGCGTCCGAGGACGTTCTCCTTGTCCTTCTCACGAGGCGGATAGACGGAGTCGATCGACCACTTGATACCGGTTTTCGTCACGGTGTCTCCGTTCTGGAGTCACCGACACAGGAGCCCACCCTACGCGCACGTAGGCAGGCCGGTTTTTTGCCCGGCCAGCCAGAAAAAGCGTGTAAGATGACGATTCGCGGACGCTCGCTGCATCGGGTGAATCCGTTGGCCGTTGGGAGTTGTTGCTCCCAGCGGCCCTTTTTTTCGGCCCTACGGCTGATGGTGTAACCGCAAGTCCTTTATTCACAACCACTTACGATAGGTTATGTAAAATAGGGTGGGT